TTTGATGAAATATGCAGTGAAAACAGTAATATTGTAAAATATTATTGCAGTTTTAAATAACTTTTAAATAACGTTTTAAAACTTAATTAGAAAAGTGTGAGAGCAGGAATAAAAAAATGCATGATGGTTCATCTTGCAAACACTGTAATTATCTATAACAGAGATCATCTGACCACACACTGAGAGTATAGGCCTCCGTTCTGTTGTTTCTACTGAGATGTTGAACATTGATGAATGATCAGCGAGGAGATCAGACTCCCATCGTGAAACTACAAAGATCTTTAACGCTGGTAGGGGGTTGGTCAGGGTCAGCCACTGTCTGGGATCTACGGCCATTTTAATCCACTTGTCACTCATCATTAACCTTTGCAGCTCTAAATTCATGACCCTTCGTTCACTTTCTACTGTGTTCCTGTGCAGAGGCGGGGGCTGTGGCGTGAAAGAGGGTTGTTTAAAGCATTAAGCTACGAGAAATTAACCTGTTATTTGATCCCTAATCATTAAAATTAACTTGTTCTCTGTAGATGCACAACTTGTTACATCAAGTAGCCTTGATTCATTCACAAATAAATTCACTAGTAAATTTCACAAATAATTTCAAAGAAGCGGCAAGTAAAACAGTGAATTAAACATGAAATTTATCCCAGCTTCCATATTTTTTGTAGTGTACTGTAGAAATAGTTTCTTAATATAAACTCCTGACATCTTTCGAGCTCTAATCAGCAAATCAGATATATACTTAGTTTATAACAAACTGGTAATCAATGTGAGCAATATTGAATAAAATCCCTCCGGGACAGTCTCATGAAGGCATTAGTTTACAGCCTTGCAATGTTGCTAAGTAAACAAAACCAGTTGAGTCTTTTCTCTTTCTCTTTTTTTCCTCTCTTAAGCTGCCAAAGTCATGCACAGAGAGGAGAAAACACACATACACATTGAGGGCAGGGTCAGTATAATGAGTGTTTGTTGGAACTGAAAGGAACTATAGGAAACAGTGAGTGTCTAGTCATAGTGCAGATGCAACCAAGAAAGTACCAGCACAAGAACTGTTATCAGCAAACACCTATATTTAAGAAGTATGCCATATTTAATATTTAAAAGCTTTACAAATATAAAAAGTTTAACAAAGCTCACATTTCTCTTCAAATATAAGAACGCCATTATTTAACTCTTTCCATACCAGAGTTATAAAGAAAGTTATAATGTTCAAGAAAAAACAAAACAAAAACAAAAACAAACAAACAGTTCTTTGTCTTTGCACCCTGTGACAGAGTTCCGGAGGGAGAATAGGCTTCACGTTTCTGAGCTTGTCTTTAGAGAGAGAGAGAGAGAGAGAGAGAGAATTTTTTTTAAAACTGCTGTCAGCGCATCATTCTATAATACTCCAAAATTGTTGCTACTTTATAATCAGGAGCAGTGAGAATGTAGGAAGACTGTAAGGCAATAATTGGGCTCCTGAATAGCGGATCCAGAAGTGCAGTATCAGCATTTGTCTCAGCCACAGGTGACCAGCTGCCCAGCTTTGTCTTGTCTCACTCCTTAGGGACAGCTGGAGCCATCAATCTGTTCCCAAAAAAACTGCACTTCACCCTGACTCCTGTAAGCACCCCTCTCTTTCTCAACACACACTGGAAGGCTTTGTCCTGAGGACCTATCACTGTTTCTCCCTTTAATTTGCAAACTCTTGTGAGGGTGTTTATTCTTCATCTTTACTAAAGGCATTTTTTCCCCTGAGATATTAAACAAACTAAAATGAATAGTTCACCCAACAAAATGTAAGAAAAAATTTAAATCTGACTTTCTTTATACTGTAAACACAAAAGGTGAATTTTTTAAAGAGTATCCTGGCCACTTTCATCAAAAAAAAAAAAAAAAAATTAAAAAAATATTTTATTCGTTTTCATTTGGGGCTGGATATTTTAAAAAAATTCGGTCTGTGAGGTTTGGAATAAAATGAGAATGACTATATATTTACAGAATTTTTGGGTGATCTTTCCCTTCTAAACCTGAATGTGAAACTTCAGTGTGCACTTGTTTTCTAATGTATTCAGTGCGGTATATGAGCCCGAGTCAGTTCATGCGAGGTGCTGCCAAGAACACGTGCAGCAATGGCTTTTATCTCCCTGCAGATGGTAAGCATTGAGGGCCATTATTGTTCTTGATGTGGGGCGTCCTCTGCGGTAAAGTCTCTGGCACACTTTTAAAGACATAGGGTAATATATGCAGGCCTGAGCCAGTGGCCCTGGCAAAATCCCCCCCCCATAGGAATTTGTGATGAGTTCTTTCATGTCCTGAACAATCTTTTATTAATATAATTGTGTGTAACTTTACTTTGTAAGCACACTGCATTTCTGTTTCTCTCTTTAACAAGTTTTTCAACTGAAGACCACAGGGACACAGCAAGAGTCAACCAATCTCTTTAACGCTAACAGATATCAGTGGTTTTGCTGGCGGGAGTTGAGTAGAGAAGTGACAAAGTACCAAAAGGCAGACTATCTACAGTAGAAATGCTTGAACGGTGTCTAAAAGCATGTAGGCGACAGTCAAGTTTATCAGGAAGAGACTATCTAAAAAAAAATATTTTTTTTTTATAAGTAAACACCTATTAGCAACATGAACACAGAAGTACTCATGCAAACAGCAACATTAGCTATAAAAGTGCTCAAGAGTAGTGATTTGAGCACAGCTTAGTCTAACAGTTTGATTTGCAACAACAGCAGATGTGTGATTCTCAGCATGCCATCAGACCTGCCTATTTGTTTTGAGCTGGAGAATGATAATGCTCTTTACGGGACCCCGAGGACCAATGTTCCCTCTAAGCTGTGCGCGCGCAAAAAAAATAGTTGGGAAAGCCATTTGCGAAAGCAAATGAATTGCAATGCTCGGGTAAACCGCCATAGAGTTGAAACCGGTGAATGCGGTTTACAGGTTTCATAGAAAGAGAATGATGTGCGCCAGATGTAGAAACCGAATATTTTAATGGTTGCGGACGAAATAGCTCAAATCGAGAGGCAACGCAAGCGCAATGACATGTGAAATAAAACTTCATCATGTATTAAAGAAGAGTGGCTTGATTAAGTGCTGGAAATAGCGGATGATGGGCACAAAACGGTAACAAAACTCAGGGACATTTACAGTCACAGTGTAACGTCTGTGCTGCACACCATTCTATGATAAATTCTGCATTAGTGGAATTCTGTGTCATGCAGGCGTGCGTAGTTAATGATGACCAGTGTTGGGTAACTCATTACAAGTAATGCGAGTTACGTAATATGATTACTTTTTCAAGTAACTAGTAAAGTAATGCATTACTTTTTAAATTTACAAGAAAATATCTGAGTTACTTTTTGAAAAAAGTAATGCCAGTTACTTTGTTTTCCCATTTATTGACTGACAAGTCTCCTGTCCCCATACTGGGAGAAATCAGAAGTGCAGAGGCATTGTGTGCGCTGTGTGAACATGATGTTACTGTAGTTCTAGACTAAATGTGAATGTGCATTAATTCATCCCACTCACAAAAAAACAGATTTAGTATTCATCAAAATGAATTAAAACTCAGAATATGATGCAAACCTGCAATAATTAAATATGTCACATAACACAAATGTATCTAATCCCATTTTATTACCCAATATCTTTGCTGCTGACCTTTGATGATCCAGCTCAACCATACTAATAAGCAAAAATGGCTTTAGATAAACTAACAATTGTGCTTCATTGTTTTTTTATTGCTGAAGAGTGTTTCTTCTCCTGCATTCTACCGTACAGATGTGAATTTACATTTCCTTCAGCCTGATGTTTATTCATTACACTTTTTGATGTGAAAGGGCTTTTACATTTGCTATAAATAGAACTTTTTATATTAAAAACAATCAAGCCCTGCTTATATTTAAAAAAGTCACGCAAAAGTAACGTAACGCATTACTTACCATAAAAAGTAACTAAGTAACGTAATTAGTTACTTTTTTAGGGAGTAACGCAATATTGTAATGCATTGCTGATGACACAGCTGTAACACTGCAGAGATGCTTTAGATAGGAGGGGACGTAATGTTCAGTCATACCTGAAATCACCGTGATTCACCTTGAACTCGCCTTCAGCCCCAGTCTAACTTTTTTAATAAATGCATAAAATGTAATCAGATTACTTATTCAGTATGTCTGAGAGTTTGCGTGTCAATACAGCACGTCTGCACCAATCTGACCAATACATTAGGCAATGGTTTTTACAAGTGTTACTACTGAATGATGCAAAAGATTTATGACTCATTACTTCACTGGAGGTTGAGGTACTATGATTGCTACAGTATTTACAGGAAATATGGTTACAGTACATTTTTTTTCAGGGTCATGAAACATTTACTATTTCCCATAACCCGCGGTTTTTGTGTTCCGGTCCTTTCTCAATCATGTTACTATAGTGATTTTCTGTCAGGATGCGAGCGCGCCGCGCGTGGGCAGTGTCACCGCCTGCGTCACACGCCAGGAGGGAGTTTTCCACTGACGAAAAGACTGCGCTCCTCACTCAGCCGTCTGCTTCAGACAAGAGGAACAGCTTCAGCTGCTGCTTCAGTACGCCGAGCGCACACTAGCCACACGGATAGAGCGTGATCTCTATACGGATAAACGCGCCATCGTATCACTTGGATTATTACCGCTTCTTCTTTTCTCTATTGTGATATACTAATGCTGATCGGACACGTTATTGGTGAGTAGCGGAGGTCCGCGCTGTTTAACGCTGCACTTGTAATGTGTCTAATAGGCAAACCTCGGTGCTGGAGTCCAGCCAGATAGTTTCAGTGTTCTTTTGTCGGCCAGTGTAAACAGATCAAATGTGTTGTGTAACTATTTCAAATAGCGAAGGTAAAGTGAATGGTACTGGTGTAAGCTGCTGTGACATAGAAAAAAAACCCTAACTAAAGTTTACATTATTGCCGTTTTAATGTATACACTTTGTTTCACTAATAAACTCTCTTAAACGATTTATTATTTTAGCACAGATGCTTCAGTGTATTGTTCGGAGTAAACATAAGCGTCCTCTCTGTCAAACAGTCGCTGGGTTTGATTAAAAGATCATTCTCATCAGCAGCTGTTGGCGGTTCTGATCGGATCCATTGGCAGGATTCCAGCATAGTGGACCCTATGTGTGTGTGTGTGTATGTGTCGAGTGCATTCCTCGTTCACGTTCATAGTGCTGGTGTGTCTTCTGAAGCGCGAGCGACTCCTTAAGGTGCCAGACCGCATCATCATATAGTGTGCCTGCAGATCTGCGCTCAGCCTCACGAGCGCTTCCAGTCCTCGGTGACGTCACCGCGGGGCTGAGGCTCGTCGCGAGAGGCGACTTAACAATTGACACTTTGAGCACGGCGTGATTGGAATAAGTCAAAATGTAAGCTGATGTGCTCATCCACACTCGTTTGTTAATTGCTGTCGAGTTCGTTAAATACATATTCACTGGATTCTTTTGTGAGGTAATTCCCAGTCCCTGCCTGTAAGCAGATTGAAATGGAATGTTTGAGAGTGGAAGTTATTGCATTCACTTATGAGCTTGTATGTAAACGTTAGTTCAAGCGTCTCGGTATATTGTCAAAATACCAGCTCGCAGCGCCTGTTGTTATGATTTTGTGTACGTTTTGAAAGTTTATGTTGTGGTGTATGTCCATAGACTGCTTCCATGTGAGCGAGCGCGGAGTCGTGTCTCTCGCGCGAGTCGAGCGACCTCACTTGGACTGTTTGTGGGAATAATGAATATTGCCTGTCGAATTTTCTTTACTTACTCCACCTACATGCTCAACCTTAGTAAGTCTTTTATTGTGTTTCATGTCTTTTAATATGTGTTTGTCTCTCACTGGTCACAAGTGGCTGTGTTTTCTATAAAACGACCGTGTTGTTTTGAATCGGAGTGCACGTTAAACTTATCAAATATAGGACCCATAAAAGATCAACATTATTTTGTTTACGTAGTTGTGGGTTAATGAGGTGTGAATTTGCACGTGTGTCATGGTCATTGAAATCAGCCCTTACTAGTGAATCAGTCAACTGGTTTAAGTGACATGTCTGGGTAGTTTCCTTCCCTCTTTTCTTAAGTCTTCACATGTCTCATTTAAACCAGCCATACCTTTTAAATGAGATGATGTCAACATCATTAGTGTACATCACAACCTCATCTTTTTGTTAAGCTCCCACCCTCAGACTGGGTGTTCCTATTTGGGATAGTTCAGTGTGTGGTATTTGTGCAGTTGTATTGGGGGAGGTGTGGAGGTCCTGATGTCTCTAAAACAGAGAAGCAGAGGGATCCCATCTGTTTTGTCACTCTAGCATTCCTCCCAGCTTGTGAGTGCCCCAGACATGAGCTGCTGACCCCTGAGCTCCCCCACCACACACACACACACACACACACGGGAGTCTTAAGAGACTGGTAAAAATGGCTAGTATTTGTTTTGCCACCATTAAGTTAGTCAGAACAAACTCATGCTGATGACTTCTCGAGGAAGCTACACTTTGCGCACTGTTGGAAGTTTGCATTTCGGATATTGATGCAAATTGTTCCATGTGTGATGGAAATATCTCCTTTTAGTTTAGGCAGTTTCCTGAGTGATCATATTTTCCACTCGTTGACTTAAAATGTGAGGAAGGATTCACCCAAAATGGTGAAATGACTTTCATAGGGTGTTTTAAGATGTCTATTATTTTTTTATACCTCTGAAAGTGTAAGTAAAGGGTTTTCAATCTTTCAGTTGCCTCAGACCCCCAAATATGATCATCCTAATATGATCCTAAAATTAAGGCCACAATTCTTTCTGTAAAGGTTTTTTTCTTCTACTTACTATAGTACTCTACTGTTAGATGAATTATTTAAATAATTTTAAAAACTTTTTTTATTTCAATAATTTCATATATTTATTTGTGTAATTTCTTCTTCTTCTTCTTCTTCTTCTTCTTAATGTTTCCCCAGTTTAAAAACCACTTGAAAACCAATTAAGTCAGAATTGTCTTTTGTGGTTAGTTAGATACTAAATTTCACTTTGGATATCAGTAAAGTAAACTTTTGTACTCTTAAAATGTGAGGAAGGATTCACCCAAAACGGTGAAATGACTTTCATAGGGTGTTTTAAGATGTCTATTATTTTTTTTATACCTCTGAAAGTGTAAGTAAAGGGTTTTCAATCTTTCAGTTGCCTCAGACCCCCAAATATGATCATCCTAATATGATCCTAAAATTAAGGCCACAATTCTTTCTGTAAAGGTTTTTTTCTTCTACTTACTATAGTACTCTACTGTTAGATGAATTATTTAAATAATTTTAAAAACTTTTTTTATTTCAATAATTTCATATATTTATTTGTGTAATTTCTTCTTCTTCTTCTTCTTCTTAATGTTTCCCCAGTTTAAAAACCACTTGAAAACCAATTAAGTCAGAATTGTCTTTTGTGGTTAGTTAGATACTAAATTTCACTTTGGATATCAGTAAAGTAAACTTTTGTACTCTTATAAATCTTTGTCTGTGTATTTCAAATGTGGAAATGCACACTATGATGAAGAGAGTCCATGCAGCTGTTCTTAAGAGGCCTGTGAGACAAGTGTTCATCTCCAACCTAATAATGTAATCTTTGATGACTCGTGACGCCCCATCAGGTGTTTTTATAGATGTTTCTGTCTGAGGTGGTTTCTCTTGGGCAATAGTGGTCTGGACTATACAGACACATCTGGGATAGATAGAGTATTACAGAATGTGTCGCCGTTGCCAGGGGAGAATTCCTGTGGGCTGGAGACATTGCATTATTTATTTGTTAAAATTTCTCGCCGGCTACCCTCCTCCCACATCAGTGCACGCTCCTATTTGGGATGAATGTGTACTCTACATGGGTTGAGGTTCAGGAACAGAATGTCTCTGGCATAGTTGAACATCTAGAGTGATGATCGGCACAACACATGACTCCCTCCTCCCCCTGACTGCAGTTCTTAAGGGCTGACCAGCAGGGGGAGAGTTTCTTTCATTCTGGTGGAATTGTGGAATCTGAATTTGATTCCATTTATCTCGCAAGGGTTTTTACACCATATTTCACAGTCTGTTATCATAGTCACACGAGGTACATGCTGCTGATTATCTTCAGGATGGAAGCCGTGAGCTGGAGGGGCAAAGTCAACCAGATAATAAGATAAGGCATAAGATCAGGTCGGGATTCCACTGTTTGCAGACAGGCTGCTCAATGTTTTTTATGCTTTTTGGAAGCAGGACAGCGACAGCGGGGGAGTTCAAGAAGTTTATGCTATACTAAACTGCAATGAGCCTGCCGACAACGGATAAAGATCCGGTTTCAGCAGTCTGCTTCTTTTGTGGCCATTCTCGCTTTCTGCTCGTGATTTATTTCCACCTTTCTCAGTGACAACAGCATTGAGAATACCTCATCAGTGCACTGCCTTTATTGGAATGGCAGCCCTGCATTATTTATGCTCCTGTGCGAACGTTTCACCTGCTCGGAGCTTCTGGGATACTTCGCCGGTGACAGCTCCTGCCTGGATGTGAAATCCAGACGTGCTCTATAGTGGATTTATGCATGTTTTGACTGCTCATTTTTATTTGTGAGATTCTCGCTCATATATCTAGTCGCCGCTGATGTTGGAGCGCAAGAGGACAAGCTCCAGATTGACCTCCAGCTGAGCCCCCTGCATCCCCCCCCTGTTCCTGGGATTAGCTCGTCTTCATTGTTTCTGCCCGTTAAGCAAGATTAACAAATCAGTGTGTCAGGTAGGCTGCAGTCAAGAGACAATGACCCACTTCTAACGCCCAGGTTTTGCACTCTCTCTTCCCCCTCTGTGCCATCCTCCTCCTCTCCTCACTGTCCAGAGTCCTTAATTAAAGCTCCTCTGCTTGGTTGGCATGCATATCGTCCTCAGGGATTGTCTCCTTTTCTCGTTTAAATGAGTAGTTGTGATGTTTGTTGAATGTGAAGGTAAACTCTGTCAAGAACAAGCACCAGATACCATTTGCAGGTGGTTTCTTGTACAAAGCGTGAGTGGATTGTGTCTAGAAACGTGACGGTGAGAGAAGGCAAAAGGCAATTTACTAGTCAAATGAGCAGATGAGGGCGAATTCTTCATTGTTTGCAGTCTTCTCCACATGTGTGGCGAAAGTCAAGTGTCAAGGTCTCTCTCGTCATCTTGCCTAATGACTAAAAGTTTGCATAAAAATATGTTCCTGCTGAGGTCTGTGGGCTTGTCTGTGCAAAAAGCTACTTGTTTTCAATCAAGACGTAGCATGTAAGGGTTCACGCTTCCTGTGCTGGCTCTGTCCGCATGCAAATGAGGACAGATCTGGACACATACTGTTTGCAATAAAAATTGATTATGTCCTTCGCCTCTACTGCTGTTTTCATTTGTCCGTTTAAAACCCATGTCTGATTATAACAAACTATTGCATAACATTTCAACTGTATTTCCTCTTGTCAGGGTTTGAGGATTGTTTGCTTTCGGCTGATGTTGCACGAGCAGATACGTTTGACTCGTGGAAGATATTGTCAGGTTCAGACGAAGATAAAGACTCACCTTGTGCTTTTTGGCAGTGATATTTAGCAGCCGGGAAGACACGGCTGAATGTGCAGACAGCACAGACGTCCCCTCGGTGTCTGGCACATTTGTGACTGCAACACTAATGTGTGAAATACACATGCACAGAGATAGAAGTTCTGCTCGTAAACAAAGCAACCTGTGGGAATAGGAAGTCTACATACTCGTGTCTGAAGATCAGGGATGAACAGATATTAAGTTCCTGTTATGTCCAATAATGAAAAATCACCAGTATTAAAATTCTACACTATTTAGCTTTGTGTAAATTAAAAATAAAACATTTAAAACTAAAAGTATTATTTAAAAATGCTACAATTGAATTCAGACATCACAACATTATAATGTGTAAAAAAAAATATTTATTTTGTAGTTTTCTAGGTATAGCATTTTTTTGAACAACATTGTGCTGTATTGTTACGCAAATGCATTATTGACTAACACTGAGTCCATTAATTAGAGTGGTCAATTTGAACTCCAACTTTTTAAATACAGTGACACCAAATAGTATTAGTACACATACGCTTTGATAATATAAAATTGGGCCAAGGGTTGATTATTATAGCAGACTACTACTGAGTCATATTGTGTTAGTCACACTCTGTATGGCAGGGATGATTCAGTGCCATTTGGCTCTTTATTTTATTTTGTCGATGACACACCATAGACCAAAATCATGAGCTATATAATCTGCCAGTCACGACCGTCTGTCACTTTTTCTTTGAAGTGGCTGTCTTGCTGGAATCAATCCTTGTTCTAAAACACTTATTTACTACTTATTACCACTTAGTCTTCTGGGGGAAAAAATGCCTTTTCTTAGTCCAGTTAGCATAGGATATAATTCTAGTACTGACTAATGACTAGCTGTCACATTTTAAGTTTTTATTTTTTTCTGTTCACTTCAAGCAACAGTGAAAACTCATCTTTCAAACCCTTTCCTTTTTTTCCTTCTTTCCCTCCTTCCTTCCTTCCTTCCTTCCATTCTGCCTGTTTCAGCATGAACGTATTTGAGCTGTGGAGTGCATTGAGAGGCCTGAGGTGAACTAGCTGACTGGGGTTTATCTCAGGGCAGAGAAACAAACGAGTCCACAGCTGCCAGTATCAAATGATGGTTTCGTGTAAACGCCACTGTGCTGCACCGGCTCTGACCCTTAAAAGCTGTTGGGCACTGGCTAGACTCTTCCTGCAAATGATTGATTGCTTTTATTGCCCAATAAGCAACCTCTCTACAGGAGCAGCGACAAATGCAGTCTGGGCTTACATAAACCTGCCTGTTTACTGTGCCAAGCTGTACACACATTTACTACAGAGTCTCATAAAATGCATTTAGTAGCGGTGTAAAGCGTAATTGCCCCTACCGGCTTTAGGATGTTTTTTTTTTGAGAGGGGTAACCTAAATTTACCCTCCACACTAATGTGGCTATGTAATCAACCCCCATCCTAATCAATGTATTTGTCTAAGCGATTGGATTTAGGAGTGGGTGAAGGGTCTGGTAATTGTTGACTTGCAGCAGCAGGACGTGATTGATTGCTTACTGTTTTCCTCGCCACTCAGAGGCGGCATAAAGCATTATCCACTGCTTGTTGCTGCTCATAGCCTGTATTTAAAAACCTCACTGGACATTTAGCTGCTATTAGGACAATAAAAGTTTTACATTGGCCGATAACATCTAAGCACTGCTTGCAATATCGATGCCATTTCCATAGCAAAACAAATTAGCTGATGGTCAAAGGCAGATTGCATGAAAGTGCAACTTTCATTTTTGCCCCTTTAACACTCTTGTAATGCTTTTCTGTCTTTGCTTGTTTCCCACAGATCACGAAACGCTAGCGCCATGAGCGGGGTTCTCAAAAGGAAGTATGAGGAGGTGGAGGAGGACCCGTGTTACTCTTCCTCCTCCCCTTCCTCTCTCTCCTCCTCTGCCTACTCGGAGTGGGACTCGGGTGGGGAGAGCTGCTACTCTGACACCCTGGATTCAACCCCCAGCAACCCCAGCTCCCCAGCAACATCCTTAAACAGTGAGTTTCCCCCCTTGAACTACTCATTTATTCTCTGATTTAGGTTGAGAAGTGGTTCTTTTTTAATGGAATAGTTCACCCAAAAATGAAAATTTGTTGAAAATGTACTCACGCTTAGCCCATCCAAGATGCAGAGGAGTTTATTCATCGTAACAGATTTCGAGAAATTTTGCATTACATCACTTCTCACAAATGGATCCTCTGCAGTGGATGGGTGCCATCAGAATGAGAGTCCAAACAGCTGATAAAAACATCACAATAATCCACAAGCGATCAACACAACTCCAGTCAATAAGTCTTGTGAAGCGAAAAGCTGTGTGTTTGTAAGAAACTCATGACTCCCATTGACTCATTTTGATGGCACCCATTCGTAGTGGCTGCAGTGTGTCACGTAACAAGCATGCGTCGCCATGAAAATAATAAGGCAATACATTCTAAAATAACGGTCACCTAAAAAAACTCACGCTGGGGGGTCAGTTAGAATATTTTAAATTTACGCGTGAAAGGGTTAAGGTGGAATCGCCAAACTCCTATTCCCATTGTTATTTCTCATGCATAAGGTCTGCAAGGCTTATCTCAACCTTGTGTTCTACCTGACAAGGTGTTATTGAGATGCAGGAGGGTGCAAGATTAATTGCATGGATGCAACTAATTACACAGGATGTTTTGATGTATGCCCCATTCACGAGGTCACCTCCTCCAGGCCTTTTATCCAGGTTGTTGGGGTGAGTCAGGGAATGGATAGCAAAGAGTTGTGAGTTTCCCAGGATGGCAGGGCAGGGAGCCAGCGAGTGTGCCATGTGACAGAGACAGAATGAACGCAGAGCTTTGTCTGAGCACCGGGCATGAACCCAGCACAGGTGCTGAGAAATGCAGAGGGGCGTGGAGCAGGAAGGCAAGGATGAAGAGAAGAGGAAGGGAAACGATACCGCTGTCTGCTTGTGTTTATGAAACAAAGTCAGAATGGAGCATTGTCAGGGTAGATGGCATATCTAATTTGATGAGAATTGGGGGGGGAGCGGAGCTGTGAGTGACAGACATACTACCATTCAAATGTTTGTGGTCAGTAAGTGTAAGATGGTCCAGTCCATATATGAGAGCATTTGTGATTTCCATCAGACATAATCTTTTTCATTAGATGAGCAAAACATATTTGCACAAGCTTCTAGATAGGAAAACGTGCGAGGATGAGTTCCCACCATTGCAAGTCTAATATAAACCAGCTGTAGGGACAGTGAGAGCCATCTCCTTCATTCCCTTTAAAATAACAATCGGTGAGCTGGTGGCCCCGAGGGAGAATGTGCTTCTCTTTCACAGAGGCTAACAATTCGACATAGTATTCCAGCACGAGGACAAGGAATTTACGAGTAAAAAAATATGGTTTTCTTTTTTCAAGAAGAAAATTCCTCCCTTTGAGATGGTTTAGCCATCTGATTCGGTAAATGCAGATTTTTGGCTGGTTGTAGGAATAATTTTCAAGGAAAGTGCGGACAGATGGCCCGTCTCATATAAAGATGGGGTTTATGTTATTAAATAGCCCTCACCACTTCCAAAAACCTCAAACTTCCAGATCATCCAGCCGCTGGGTTTGTGATTTTGGATGCTTTATTCTCCTGGCACACTTAAGCGCCAAGGGGAAATTCCTGGGTGGATTGTTTGTCAGACACTAGCGAAGAGGAATGCAGTTGTCTTCGCATATGACTGGATCAGACCGAAAAATATTAGCTGAACTATTTGCGCATCTGTTCTGATGTTGAGTGGTGGAATATTGTGTTTGTAGTATGACTGAATGCTTGTAGCACTGAGCTGATTTGCTGTGTGTAGCCTGCCACCTAGTGGTGATTTAGTGCACATGCAACAACAATGTTAATGTGATCTTGATGTTTACCTAAGAGACTCGCCCACTCCAAGTCTTCCCATTAGGCTTGGCACACTTCCTACTCAAATACTCCCCAATGAGATACTAGGAACAGGACTTTTTTTTCTACCACTCTCTTTTCTCTCTTTCAGACATGTGCTCTTAATTTTCCATTAATAAATTCCAAGCATGAATTTCCGTGAATGTATTCGCCCGCTGTTTTCCACTTAATGTTTTCTTTTCGAGTCCACCACAAGCCTGAACGTCTTATATTTATCCTCTCATTCTTTCTCTCTTTCCTCAGCCACATCTATCCTGAAGAAGGCCAAGCGCACACGGCGAGGCAACGTGCAGTTTGACCAGGTTACGGTCTTCTTTTTTCCTCGCTGTCAGGGCTTCACCAGCGTGCCAAGCCGGGGAGGTTGCACCCTTGGCATGGTGCAGAGGCACAGCGCCCAGCGCTGCTACACGTTAGCGGAGTTTGCAATAGCACAGCGCCACCTACGGCGAGAAAAAATCATAAACCGATTGAGGGAGGAGAAACTGGAAGCTCTGAAGCTGAAGGTATTCTTGAGTAAAATTTTCTCATTGTTGTCAGACATGAGAGGTTTTAAAGTTGTAGTCATGTAAATATCTTTTTCCTGTGGTAGTTTACCAAAAATGGTACCCAAGAGTCTGAAGAGGCTGACAGGTTGACTATCGATGACATCCCAGAGGATGAAATCGATCTCAGCGGAGTAAACTTGGATGACGGCTCTTTCCTGCATCCCTACCCCTCTAAGAGAAGATACGCCATCCTCAAAGCCGCTGGCGTGAAGAAAATCGATAAAGATGAGAAGCATCAACTGCATGAGTTGCGTGCATCGAGAGAAGACTGCGGATGCGACTGCCAGGGCTTCTGTGAGCCGGAGAGCTGCAGCTGTAGTTTGGCTGGGATCAAATGTCAGGTGAGTGATTCAGTCATGACAGACTTCCTTTAGAACAAGCCATCCCAAGTTTATGGGTAATATTTACAGATTCCATTCCTGTAGCTCAAACTGTAGAAAATGGTGCCAGCACCAATACTTTTATTCAGTAAGGATACATTAAATTTATCAAAAGTGACAGTGAAGACATATTTGAAGAATCATGTGACACTGAAGACTGGAGTAATGGCTGCTGAAAATTATTCACAGGAATAAATTACATTTTAATATATATTAAAACACAAAACAAGTTATTATAAACTTATAATATTTCACAATATTACTGTATTTTTTTATCAAGTAAACGCAGCCTTAGTGAGCATAATACTTCTTTCAATAACATTAAAAAATTACCAACCCCAAATTTTAAAAAAGTGTTTTATATTTTAATTTTAATAAATGTAAAAACATTTTTTTTTTTTTACATTTTTATTTCTATCAAATATTCCTTCAATTAAAATCTTAAAGTAAAATCAATTTAAGTACTTAATTACATATTTCTTTTTAAAGTATATTATATTTATAAAGGTAAAATAGTTTGAAATGCCATATATAATTGTATTTTGATATAGATTGTATATTGCATTTTATATACACTTTCTTCATACATTAATGCAATGTGTATTGACTTCACAGATGGACCATTCATCCTTCCCATGTGGCTGCACTAAAGATGGCTGTGGGAACACAGAAGGCCGCATCGAGTTCAACTCCAGCCGAGTTCAGACACACTACATCCACACTATCATGAAGCTAGAGCTAGAGAAGCGTTTGGAGGAGCACACGCCAGAGAATGAGACGCCCTCTGAAGATCAGCCAGACTGCAGTTCCCCAAGCCACCCAGCAGAGAGCAGCACCACGCCAGACAGACCCACGTTTCACTTCAACTCGGAGCTAGTAGCTGCGGGAGAGAACAGCTGTAGCAGCGACATGACCGATTCGTCTAGTTCTTCAGGCCAGAGCGAGGATTTAGAATCCACGGCAACTGCTCAGAGCGAGCAGTCGCCGCTAGACGTCGACGAAAACGGACTTACGAGAATCCTAAGCTTTAGCGACACAGACAATGAGGACTGTTCTGTCAGGGAGCGCAACAACAACAACAACAACAACTGCGACTACCAGCTGAAAAAGAGCGAGTTAATGGGCTACGGCATCTTTAGCACGACAGACAACAGCCGCACGGCCATGTCTGAGCTCTTAGACGAGAACGCTAATCAAGGTAACGCCCTATTCCACAGCACCTCCGTCCCCCACACGCCCTCGCCCTCCATCGATCACTCGGCCAGCTACATGGACCTGAGCCTGTCATCCGAATCAGACCTGGAGTTCTTTGACAGCTTTCCTTGTCTTGGACCAAGCTCGTTGTACAACTCCTTAAAGGAGTACGAACACATGGACACCTTCTTTCAGTTCCAGTTGCCTACTTACCCCAGCCTTCCGCAGGCCGCCGACCCAGGCACGTGTCTCCTGGAGTCTCTGATCGGCTTGTCGGATTCTGTCCCAGAACCTCCGGCCACCTTCACGGACAATCAAATGCTAGAAGATGCCATGAAGCTGTCAGTGATGGAGTCTGTAAAAGTCTAATGGGGGCTCCTGTAGGATCACTGTACAAATGAACTAGGGGATTGTAAATGAATGCTATACGTTTTGTTTTTCTTTACTTTATGAATGGAGACCCTCCATCCCAGGATATCAATACTTGCATTCTCTGCCTTTAAGATGTTTGCAGAGCATTAAGTTATTATAACAATCTTTATTATCATTATTGCCATTGCTGTGGCAGCTAACATTTCAGTTCAAAAACAAGTCTGGCCGACTGATTTTTGAATATTTGTACATATGGCCAGGAAGGTGAAGAACGTCTCACCCACATTTGGAGGTATTATCAACATTTACCATTATTATTATTGCTATTATAAGGTTATTTATATAAATTCAGAAGGTGCACCAGTGGGAGTCATAATGCTGATTATGTATCTCAGGGACTTTTTCTAGCTTTCAGAAGCAATGCATTTTGACCATCGCTGTTATTTGGCGTTTTTTTCCGAGAATTTTCACCAAAACAAACAGCATTTAAACGACCCCTTTTGGAGGGGTCTCTTTTTGGACTTGAGATGGTGGTCTGTACTTTTTTTTGCAAAGCTAGAGGAAGACTCCTGTTCCACAAAACGGCTCCTTGGGATTTTCTAACGGTACACAAATCCCCCAGAGGCTCCTCAGTTAGCACTTTATCTGTGATCAAAATGAACCAATCAGAGCGCAGATGGGTCAGTGTCACGTCGACCCCCGTCGCCTCTGAATCTAAGATAGTTTTCTTGCCATTTTATGGTGTTGGATCATCAGCCCAAGGTGGAGAAAAGTGAACGTTTTCCTTTTAATTTATTCTACACGCCGCAGATATCTCATAATGTAACTGTGATATCTGTCGACCATTATTTCGAATTGCTTTTATTTATTCTTACCAAGTTATTTATTTTTCTCCGAATGCCAGCTGAATATTATCTGAGCCACACTGTGCTCGGGAGAAGTGGAAATAATGCAGCTTGTTCACGTTTCTCACCTACATTAACCTGTGTGAAGCACATCTGTATGTTTCAGCTGTGGAGGAAGGGGCACCAACTGCAAAGTATTTAATAATCTATTCTATTACTATGAAGTAACACTTTTGGTTAAGTTATTTCACGTTTAGCATTTCAGCATTAGAACTTAATTTATTCATGGTTTGGGCAATAAAGAGAAAGGTGTGTTTAACAAAAGAAAAGATGAGTCTTTGTGCCTGTTAACACGAGGAGCCGCTGTTTAATGAATGAGATGATGCTGTATAACCTACCTATTGATTAAAAATCAGATTCCAATGACATTGCCTATGATATAGAGAATTAACATTTTGTACTGTGTAGATTTGAGAGAATTCTAATCTGTTTATTGACAAATTATTTTATTAAGAAATGAAATCCACATTGTTCTTCAAATATTGAAACATTTGTAATATATTAATAGAGCTAAATCTATGCTTGAAAAATGTATCCTGGCCAGGCATAAAGTGGGGGTTTACTTCCGATGTAACTACCTAAACAAATTTACCAAGCTCAATTTGATTGTACTCTTACTAGTTGGGTGAACACAACTGACAATGTGAATTGTGGGTATAAATTTAGTAGTTTCAAAAACGTTTTGTTGATCAAACCGGCATATATTATGCAACGTGTATCATATTATGCAAATTTGTTTTGCCCATATAGTTTCCACTTCACAGTGAAGACATTTAAGTTTGTATATTTCTGAATGAGTTTTGAGGAAATGAATTGATGTACATATCTGACCATCCAGACTGTCGGCGCAGAACTATTTGACCCGATTGGAGCATTTGCATGCAAGACCCATTCATTTGTCTCAGTACTACATGCGTTTAGAGCAAAAACTGCACAATCAGAAATGTATTTGCTTTATTTTTGCCTTCACGTGCTGTTCTTGAAGCTAATAGCTTCATTAATTTAAGTCCAGCTTATTATTCCCTTGTAAAGATGTATCACCTCATCGCGATGAAATTGAAATGATTGGTATTTATTAGTCACGATTGATGTATGTTTTGAGCTCTGATGCTTTTCAAAGTGTTTCTTCTGCCTTTGTTGTATATATTTTCTGCTTCAATGAAACTGAAGACAAAACCAAGCAGTTATTTTATATTATATATTTTCACGCTTAACAGTTTAAAGCTGTTCATTTAATTCAAGTCATTTGACAGTAGTTTGTCCCTTCAAAATAAAAGTCAAGCTTTTTCTTATATCTGCTATTGTTTGTGTTGTTCTTTTGTGTATGTGATTACGTGGGTGATGATAAAAGATTTCATACTTTGTTTTTGCAGTTTGTAAATCAAAAATACGACCATTAATATTCTTTCTAATATATATATATTTTAATTATAGAAAGTTGCCTTAAAGGCCAGTCTTTGAATTTTTTTTTGTCTTTGAATTTGATTGCAAAGATTTTTTTCAATCAATCAATCAATCAGCTTTAAAGACAAAACTATGTAACTGATATTTCTCATCATTAAAAATGTGTTTGTGGTCTCACTGTAGGTGGCACTACTGTTTACTAAAAGAAAAAGGATCGTTTATGAAGAAAAAAGCGATTCCATATGAACATTTTAAAAAATATAAAAAATGTAATGCCACTGGAGTCCGAAGAATGAAACCGTTGTTTTTAATGACATGAATTCAAGGTATTTGAAAACAACTTCACACATGATACATTGATTTCGCCATTGCTGCTTCTTTCTAAATTCTTTTATTTCAATAAATACGTCAAAATATTGAAGAACCAAGACAGAATTAAATGTCTAGATGAATAGTTCACATGTGGGAGTTCAGGACATCTCGTATCCATACAGCTAGCCTTTACACTGATCTGAAATCAGCTCTGCTGATAGTGAAAAACACCAACGCATTCATTTGACTTCAAATGTGAGATGATCTTTAAAAGGAATAACTTGAGTTTTAGATGCAAATGAGTACTGACTAAATGGGCACAAAAAAAAAAACGCTCTTTAGGGCTTCTGTAGTTTTTGCATTTGTTTTTTCTTTCTATTAACATGCTCATGTTGAAATTCATTTTTACTTTAAAATATCAATAAAGGATCTTGAAATAGACAGACTGTCTTGCAGCCACTACATGAACGATTTCATCCGATTGATTCTGAGCAGCTCACATTGTAGACCAAACTAATGGGGTGCCCCTGATTATTGTAAAGTCAGACTTTCACCACTGTATACCTTATAGTTCACAAACATGGAAAAAAGCCATTTCAAATTCACAGAAGGGCTTGATTTCACATCTTACACCCCAATTTTTAAATGTCACATTCTAATACTGAAGTCAGCACCTGGAATACCTCTTCAACACGATATTTTATGAAAAACACTGACACTAAGAGGCCTGGAAAGAGTATGCACTCATTTTGTGGTTTTGAAATTGTGATCATAATACAGCACAGCTTACAAAATCATTTTAAAGTTGAGATATGTAAAAGGATGGAATTAATACAGCATGGTCTCCATTGCTTTTCATTGATTAATATGGGTTTTGTTTGCATGCTAAGCACTAACTATCATGTTAGTCCCTCATTAATCATAACTGAACCAAATAATACCTATGTAAATGACTGCACATGGCTAAAAACTTCTCCATGACTTCTGTACTGTGTATTGATCAAAAGTAACTGCACTACATCTAATGAACTGCCAAACTAGCTTCATAAACCCATCACAGAGTACTGAAAATCTGAGGTTTGCATATTATTAGGCAGAAGTTTAATAATATATAGTTGGTGCATAAGAATAGAGCCAGTGCTTGAGGATCTGCCGGTAGCCGAAGCACATGCTCATATACAGTATGTCAACAGCTCCCAAACCAAAGTGGAGAATGCATTCTCATTCTGCTATGGCTTTACCAATGCTATCGCTAAAGCTGCTCAGATATGCTCAGGTATTTGGACACGGCAGCAGCATGAGCGGTCGACTGATTTGAATCTGGGTTTGAATCGCTGTGTTCACACTACACATACGATTTGGTTTTCAAATCTGACTTTTGTGATCAAACCGGTGATGAAATCTATATTGGGTGGATCTACATTGGTTGCTATAGTAATGATGACGTCAGCACGACGCCAAGAGACTGTCTCATTCATAGCTGTTCACACAAAGGACGATAACTATAAAGTTTTAATTAATTCTACTTCTATGCAAATAGGAAAGTCACACCACAACGGTAACTAGACAGAGAAACAATATCACTGAAATCTCTTTCAGAATGATCTTTTTTACATGATATAAACATCGGCAGCCAATCAAAATCCACCCGACTATAAATAGCTTGAGTTGAATGTTTAAAGTGGCACATGACAAAACTGCAGTGCGCACTTATAATAAACAGAACATTTTCGTTCGTTGGTGTGGACACCAATATTGTTCTAGTTATCTTTATAGTTATCGTTCTTGGTGTGAATGTGCCTTAAGAGTGGAAAGGGAGGATGAAAATGTAAAAGTTCAGCCTCGGCTCATAGCTATCATGATATCTCTTAAGCTTTTGACCAAATGACACATTTAGGAATTCATACTGTGTCCAAAATCACTGACTTGATCACTAATGCACTAGAGTCACATACTTCACTATACAAAATAAAACAAAATAAAGGATCCGAAAAGGGGTTTTCGCAGTGATGCCATTGAAGATCCATTTTGGGTTCCCAAAAGAACCTTTCATTGAACAGTTCTTAAAATAACCATTTCTTTTCCTATTGTGAAGGACATTTTAATAATCTAAAGAACCTATTTCCACTTTGAAAAAACATTTTGTGTAATGGAAAGGTCCATGGATGTTAAAGGTTCTTCTTGAAACCATATACCAATGAAGATTTTTTTTAGAGTGTATATAAGGAAAGAGTGAGAAAAATTGACAAATGCAGTTTGTCATTCTATAGCTGATTTTACCATTCATGCTGAGAAAGAAAAAAACTGATTTGAATCAGATTTCAAACCTGATATGAATGGGGTTTGGATTGGGTTTTTAAACTTCAGGTTTCATGTGTTTTTTTGCTGTTCACACTTACAAAAAAACAAAACCAGTTTGAATACGGATTCGCCAAAAAATCCATCAAATTGATCTAATCAAAGCCTGACTTCTTCGAGACCTGATACTAGACCACTGAACAAACATCTGACCCCGCAGTATGCATCAAAACACATATGGCCATTTGAGAGTCAATCACTGGACAGACAGAATGATTATGAAGATGAAGAATGAGAAGACAAGGCTTCGAAATCCTTCTCCAAATGCATTTGAGCAGTCCACTCAGTGCTCAGCCTGTTAGCCAGCAGACCTTACTGCTGATGGGGCAATCTGAGGCACTGCATTTACATACAGCACTATGTGATCCATCTGGAGGAGGCTCCTTGAATACCACCCAAATCACACAGACGATAACCAAACCCTCCAAACTAACAAGAAGCGAGTTGATAACACCATTCTTCACAGACCTGTTTATAAAAACCATGTGAGATGTTCTGCTGTTGGGAATACTGTTGTTAATGATAATAGAGTAGAAAGCATCTGCCTGGAGGCTGTAATAAGGTACGGTGTTGCATAGTACTGATATCCTTTTGTGCTTGTGGAACTTTCGTCTTTGATATAATAGTCTTGGAATCCAAGATTGGATACAGAGAAATGTCCTCTCCGTTCCTCATTTAGCACCATGACATGTCTTCCATTCGCTTTGACAGCAAATACTTCATGATTTTTACACAACCTGTATTTGCTGCGAGTTTGTACTGGTGACACTGAGATCTGGGAGCGCAGCAAGCCCCTGAAAGCCACGCGGAGGCAAAACAGGCATATGCACTTTACGTCTTATCATGGAGGAGGACACCCGACAGGAAGGCACATGAAGGCAGATGTCAGGGCGCACGTTCCTTAAATGTGCATTTCCTGCAGCGAGCGGGCAGGTGGGGTTATTGCTTTGAGGGCATTTCCGGGGCAGCTCTGGCTGCAGTGTCCGCGGTTGAGCGGGGGCTGGTCAGGGGGCTCAGGACGGGGTGTGAAAACGGGGCAGGAGCGGGTACGAGCGTGGCTCTTGTGACCCCCCACGTGACAGATGAGCTCGCTGACGGTGCCCAGAGGAGGCAGATGCCGCTGCCAGCGCTCCAGACGATCCTCTTTGTATTTAATTGAGTACCAGGTGAGGAATATGAACACAAAGCCCACAAACTTGAGGCTGGCGGCCAGGCCAAAGTACACGAAGCGGAAGGAAGTGACATCATACTCCCAGCAAGAGCCGTGAACACCACAGTCCTGCTGCCACAGCATGCAGGTGGTGTCAATCACCGCACCAAAGTAGATTGGTGTGGGAATGTAGGCTGCAGACATGGAAGAAGAAGAAGATAATTTTGGTAAAGGGAAGTTTTGATTATTAATTTGCAATGGATTTTCCCTTGTGGAGTCACTTTATGGCTCTGCAAGCTTTACATTTTATGCTGCATTTGTTCCTTCATCTTATCTAACTCAAATGTATAATGCTTTGCACTGAGCTGTAGTTTATGTTTAAGAACACAAGGTGGTGCAATATGAAAAGTTCTGCTGCAGTGATAAACAAGACTGATGGATTTCATACCAAAATTAGTTTTTAAAGCTTTGCATTCCTCCAGTAAATAAAGTATTTGTGACTTACCCAGAGTTCTTAGCAACACAAACTGCATTCCTAAAGCAAACGGTCGTTCTTGCTCTTCTACTGACCTGCAAAAGAAAATGACTTTATTGTATTGTTTAATACCATTTACTGCTAGTCAGTTTGATATATTTTTTAAAGAAATTAATTATTTTTAGTCAGAAAGAATGCACTTAATTGATCAAACATGACATGAAAGACATATATAAATGATATATATTATATATATTATATATAAAGATATTCAAAATTATCAAATAAATGCAGCCTTGCTGAGCATAACAGACTTCTTTCAAAAACATTAAAGGGGTCATATGATGCGATTAAAATTTTTCCTTTCTCTTTGAAGTATTAAAAGCTCTTGGTGCATAAAGAAGATCTGTAAAGTTGCAAATACTAAAGTCTCAAATCCAAAGAGATATTCTTTATAAAAGTTAAGAGTCAACCACGCCTACCTAAAACGGCTCGTTCTATCACGCCCCCACATATTTATGTCACGATGTGGGAAGATTTGCATAACGTCGCCCAAATGTTCATGCAAAGAAAGGCGGCATAACTTTTATTCTCGCTGTAGTATTGTTGTTGCCGTTGTTGCTGTGTGTTTCGTTGTGAAAGCGAAACTACTTTGTTTGGTCTTCCAAAAGAGGACGATATCAGCAGAGTCCAGCCCGGGGTTGTCACATGTGGTTGCCGCAAGCCCTCCAGACGCTCCTTCGTCGAATCCGCCGGCTGCGCCGTTCTCAAGCTCACTCAAGCCCACCGCCGCTCACCCAAGCTGGCCTCCGCTCACTCTAGCCCGCAGTGTGTGAAAGCGAAACTACTTTGTTTGGCCTTCCAAAAGAGGACACGACTAGAAATCAGTGGTTAAGTTGTATTTACAACACTGTTCCAGAACAGTTCAACCCAAATATTCAGATGTGTGCAGCGCATTTTATGGAGGACTGTTTCTTGATCCTGTGAGAGTAGACTACAATGCCGGCTGTGCAGACTCACAGACTGTAAGTAAGTTTTCATATATAAAGGATTTGCCACTGATGATTGAAACGCAAGTTTTGGGCAGTGTAGGGTAGGGCTTGTTGTTTGTCATTTCTCCGATCATTAATGCAGACATGGTTTTGTTTACGCGGCACGATGCAATGTGTAAAAAGACAGTATAAGTCATTATAATCCATAATTATGTCTCCACTGGATGCAACAAATGCCTTGTTTATAATGGGTTTTAATGTTTTTGTCTTGTCGCTCCGGCCGGGACACGGCATCACAGTATGGCAAGGGGCGTAACATTTCCGTCACACGCTTGAGGTATTCGGCCAATCACAACGCACTGGATAGCTGGCCAATCAGAGCACACCTCACTTTTCAGACCGATGAGCTTAAAATCGACGCGTTTCAAAAAGGCGGGGTATAGAAGAGAAACAGCATGTGGAAAATAATGTGTAACATTAAAATAACATTTCATTACACCAAAATAATGTTCTTTTTAGCAACATCATATGACCCCTTTAAAAAGTCTTACTAATTCCAAATGTTTAAAGTGCTCTAATGATGTCTGATTTTAATGAAGAAAAAATGCACCTTTAAAGTCATCATGAAAGATCAGAAATATTAGTTACTGTTTCCTACCTGAGAGTGACAATAATGGCGGAGGGCTGTGCGCAAGCTGTGATGAGTGTAACGATGAAGAGGAAGATGAGGAAGGGGATGAGTGTGTTGCAGGTGCGATCACACTTCCCTGACACCGCAAATCCATTCTCGTTCAGGTAGGTCTTCACTATGACCAGTTGCAGCTGGTTGCCTTGGCCGCTGGTGGGTGGTGTGATGACCTGCCTGCTCTGCACGCATGCACAGTCTGTGTAGTTTCTGATCTGCATTAAAAAATGCACATGTACATTACCACAGATATGCAAAAATTCAAAAGACATTGTTGGAATGCAATTCTGTGATTATGCTAAATATTCAGGTCAAATTACATTTATTTATTTAATAAAAACTATAATAATAATAATAAATTTATAATTAACAATAATCAGGGATCCAAAGTTTATGCATTAAATTTATGCTCCGACTGAATAGTGACAAGACATGCTGACACCAACTATCTTTCAGACCTGCTTTTTTGTATTGATTGATTGATTTTTTTCAATGATAAAACGGACACTGTATCAGTTACCCAGACCAACAGGCAAAGATAGTGAGATGAGATGTTTACATGTAAATAGATGCAGCTGGAATGAAAGAACCTGTACAGAACATCTGACTAGATGATTAAGATTTAATATCAATGTTTGGTGTTGGGGATGTCTTGAACTGAAATGATCTGTGCTGTCCTAAAAAATCTGGAGCATCTCCAGAAAGACATGCAGTGTGGCTCACCCCGGTGCTGCCATTGCCAACAGTGCTGCATCCCGCCAGGCAGGGGTTGAAATATGTGATGCCATCTGAGCCACAAACAGGAGCGTACTCGTTGATCCGACAGCCACAATTCACATTACAGCCACCCGTCAGGTTTCTGTGGGTCAGAGTGAGTGTCGGCCTGAAGAAAAACAGAAACAGAGGGGGAAGAGGGTTTTTTAGTTTAAGAATAAAAGGCATCACATCAGCTGCTGTAGGCAATGTTTGGAATACTCTAAAATACATTAAATATGACCTGCCATATAACACTGAAAAAGGTGTTCTGAGAAATCACACTTGTCTATGTGACAACCCTAGACTATAGGCTCTGTATTCATGCATTAGCTAAAGAGAGAACTCATTAGCCAATAAGAAAATTTACGAATTGCGATATAAATCATATATTTGATAATACATATATATCACATTTGCAATTAATGAATGAATAAATTATAAAATATATTTAATTTATTATTTTTCTAATTTTAGAATTTTTATTATTTTATGACAAACAACATATAACGTTACTGAGTCAAATGGATTTGCAAATATACACACACATACTTTTGATTCTAAATAATTAGAAATATATTTCAGGATAGTGATTATTATATAGTGAACATGTTACTATCAAATGAAATTACATACATGTATAAATAAATAAAATATGTGATCTCAGACCTTGAACTGTTATCTATGGACTATATAGTGGGTATAGAAAAGAATCACCCCCTTTAAAATAATCACATTTTGCTGCTTTGCAGCCTGAAAAGTATTTGTTTTATCCAGCCTGTATTTACTCAGTGCAACTTATAACATCCAAGTGAAAGATATAACACTAACATGTCAGAAAAATAAAAAATAAAAACCAGAAAGGATCAGTTATTTTAATGCTGTGGGAATGGCAGGCAAATTCAAACAGTGCTCTTTCCCACATAAAACACAGAGCAATCAGCAACAGCTCTGGTTGACTTTACATTATCCTCTCAGATCTACAGCAGAATGAGGGGATGAATCACGGCATTACACAGCCTGCAAGATGGACGGAAACAGCAGCGATCGGAATCCAGTCTTTAAACACGGAATGGGACAGAACCCTCTGCTATAAAACTACACACCATAATAGTCATCTCTCATTCTTATAGGACATAAAGGGATAGCATGGTGCTTTGGTTTGTCATTTTGAAGTTTAGCAGCTCACATCCTAATTCCCTTTTACAGCCTCCCGTTGTTTCAGGCTGCAAAGCAGCAAAATGTGATTATTTTAAAGGGGAGTGATTCTTTTCTATACCCACTGTATGTAGACAAATTAGTCTTTAAGCTTCAGCTGTTTTCTCATCAAGGTCACCCGAGCTGAAACAGCTGTGGTTAGTAAATGAATAAATAATAAATAAGAGCTTCTGAATGTGCATGTGTCTCTCCTTTAACTATACAGAACACTGTTATAGGACATAAAGGATGAGAAAGGCTAACCTTGAGAAACGTAGTGGAAAGAAACAGTTTGGACGGATGTGAAATTTAAGCATTTACTCATTACTTTGAGCACAAATGCAATGTATTTCTACATCTGTTAAAAGGGCTTCACACTTTTGTGCTATGCCTTCCACAAACATGCTGTCTCGCTGGTCAGGACCATGCAAACTCCCCTACTGCAGACTTCAGCACAAGAAACTTGTTATATCACTCAATGGAGCCTTGTAAGGTGGACGACAGGAAATAAACAATGGACCTCACAGAGCAGGAATGTCAAACACACGGCTCATGGGTCACAGACTGTGAAAGAGCCCAAACCAGGAAAAAATAAGAAATAAAAATGAAACTATTTCTGTCCTTATTACATTTATATCGCATATTCAATATTGTACATACTGTACACTATATTTGTATATTGTATATTACTGTAAAATTGGACAATTACATAAATTAATGGACAAAAATGTGTGTGTGTGTATATGTGTATGTATGTATATATGTTACATATGTTTTTAATAGGCCCAGTTTTTTAATTTTTTAATTTAGTTAATTTTTGGTTTCAGATAAAGTTTAAAAAGAAGTCTGTATGTGTGTGTGCGTGTGTGTGTGTATATATCTATCTATATGTTACATAATTGTTTTTTCTTTCTTCATCTTTAATTTTAATATATTTTTGTTTGTTTCAGGTGGCTTAACATGGTTAAAGCAATCCAGCCAAGAGCAATGAGTGGTTACTAATTTCACATAAATATAACATTTTAAGGCCTGAACTATGCATTAATTGAGCATGCCTTCTCAATAGGTATAGTACATTTAAGAAGGAAAAAGGTTGTGTAGGATTAGCTAGAGCTGCAAGCAAACAACCACAAAATCGATCACATACTGACTCATCAAAATGTATTTCCAGACCATACTTGCAGACATATGTAAGGGCATTGAAATGCGCCATGATGCAAGAAACAGCCGTTGTACCTGCTGTTCAACATATGCTTCTTACTTCATTTGTACTTGTAATATTTAAGTGTTTATACAACTCTAGTACAATTGAAACCACAAAACGTAAATAGGATATCTAAATCTGTGCAGTATACATCAAATCCTACACTGAAAGGTTTTAATGCCTGCGTATTTCACTTACCCTGTGGTATAAGGGATATTGATCCCACCCAGGTTTATGCTCTCACAGCCCACGATGAAGAGTGTGGAGAAGCACAAAAGAGACACCCCGCTGCAGATCATGGCCAGCTTGGCGGACTCACGAGCTCCAAGCTTGAGTTTCTTTATGATGTAGCCACCCAGTACAATGCCAACCCCTGCACTGGGCACGATAATGACCCCTAAATAAAAAAAAGGAATGAGATCAGTCACAATACTCATCCAGAAAGCCACTTATCACAATAAACATCAGACTTGAATGAAAAAGTCAACAAATGTGTAACCAAGAGCACATCAACATGTCCCTGGTTGACCCTCAACCATATATGTATATGGTTGAGGGTCACACACACACACTGTATATATATATATATATATATATATATATATACTTACCCTATATATATATATATAGATAGATATATAGATAGGGGACAAAAATAAAATTGTACACAATTCTAGAAGTAAAATGTGACTGCAGCTCAAGGAAAGGAATGTCCACATATTTCTATGGGTGGAAGTTAACACAAAGACCTGAAGTAATGTAAGCATCCTGAACATAGTTCACAGGACCATCACAAAAAAAGAAAAACATCTGTTCACGTCACAGCCATTTGGCTGTGGATTTTAGAGTCTAAAGACGGAAGCAAAAAGAAAAAGTAAAAAAAAAAAAAGACCAAGGACAAACGCTACTGTAGTGATTGAGCGCCTAAGAACCAAAGATAGACATCACAGGCTGGCAGAATAGCAGTGAGCAGGGACAGAAATGTGCGTGAGGCAGAGCAGTGTGGCATCACAGCTTGGGATTTGAAAGTCAAAGCAGACTGCTGGCAGTCCGAGGTCACTGTGTAAATCCACTGGGTGGGCAAGGCAAGCTCGTGCCTGCTTTCAGCACGGACAAGAGTGAACGCTTCATAAAAGCAAATAATGCGCAAGAAAAGCTGGGTAGAAACTCAAGCTCACTCTCGTAAATGCATTGTAACACAATCTAAACACAGAAATCAAATTCAACATCAGTCTCTTTTTGATTCGGTCAAGGTAACCCCTTTAGGTATTTTTCTAGCTAAACCATGGAAGTCTATATATCCATTAGCATTCTTATTTAGCTCAATGACAGTCATGTGGTTGTTGCAATACCCTATTCCATCGCAGAATTTCTCCCTTTCTTGCCAAAGGCATTTTTATGTGTACTTTATTAAGTACTTGTGTATAAATGAGAGAAAACCACTTTATGGTATATTTAACAATCATTTTCAAGATTTTACTTTTAAAATTTTTAATGTACATACAAGCTAAAATAGTCAAATTAAACTTAAACTGAAATGATATTTCCTTTGTTTGGGTTTTGTTTTCAGTTAGCAAGTTACCAGCTTAATTTACTAGCTTAGAGTAACACTAACTGAAAAGTAAAATCAGGCAATTATACAAAGGCATTAACAAACACGACATTAAAAAGTTGCCATAGTTTAAAAACCTGTAATATTAAGTTAATACATACAAAAACACAAGCCAACACATTCTCATCTGTGAAAGGTTATCTCATTTCTACGGGAATTTAAATCTCAGTGGTTTTTACAACCAGAGGCTGGGCAATGTGCATCTTGGAAGACTGATTTTTACTGTGAGTGACTGTGAGGTTGACCTTTCTAAGATGGCTGATGTGTCAATGCGCCTGGAGCGGTCAAATGTGGTATCTACGTATACATAGCTATGTTTGTAAAATATCCCACAACATAATTAAATGTTCCCGATTTACATTTACAAGCAAACCAACAGTTTAGCCAACTAGCTTAGCATAGTGTTAACTACAAAAAAATAAATAAATAGAAAACAATGTGGTGAAAAATTCTTAATAACAATTAAATATATTAGCTATTGATATGTTCCTTACCTAACTGTTTAACCTACTAACTTAGCATTGTGTTAACTGAAAAAAAATAAGGCACTGGTAAAAATCTACTATGAAAAAATGCAAATATTTACTATTTATGTTTCTTATTAAAACGTCAGAATATACAGCAAATTTTAAATGGCCATCAATGGATAAAGATTCTTGGTGTGTAGTTGCAAAATCTACTAGCAGGGGCTAACTGGACCATGCTAACCAGATGCAAACTTTGACCTCTTGAGCTAAACCAGCAAGCATTCCTTAGTCAGCCAACTTCACCAGTAAGTTCACCAGCTAGACTAGCACTAAACTAGCATAAACTAGCCAGGAAATCCATGGCAGTCAGCTTCAAGCGGATTACACCTAACTTCATTACACTCCATCAAATGTTCGTACACCCACACGAGGATAAACACACATACCCTTCCAACCTGACAAGGTGGTAAGAATGCCCGTTCATGAGACAACCACAGCTGTGTGAAGCCAATACAGTTTTCCTCTGGGCTATATTTAGGCAGAAGTGCGTCAGGAACACCTCCCTGTCATGAAAGTAGGAGAAGAAACAAGCACTATTTACACAAACCCTCAGTGTATCTAGAAGGAGAGCAGGGAAAGTCTCCTTGAGAGGATGTCTTGGGAGATTCGGCCCCGACTGCATGCACAGCTGGAATAGAGCTGTGTGTGTGCGTGTGACTGTGTTGGGGATGAGGGGAGGGTGGGACATGCGAAGGCAAAGTACAACAATTCCGGTAGGCAACAAGCTGGAGCGAAGCAGGGTGCTAATGACCACAACCCACTGATAGATCTCTGGCGCGCGCACGCACGCACACACACACACGTCATTAGTGCCATCTGAAGTCATGCAGACTTGAAGACAGTGAGGTGCATGATGCAAAAAGCCATAAAATCTACGTTTTGTTACCAAACCTCTGATGTTAGACAACAAGTTTAAAATTGTTATTATTAAAACAGACAGTTCTAACTCTTAATTATGGATGAGTCACGTTTGATGCCACTAAAAATACTGACACGCACCTGTGATGCACATTCTACAATAATGCGTCAAGTTACTATGTTACTTAACAAATGTAAACGACCTACAGTGCTATTTGGCCAAATAATTATTTTTCTTATGATTAATATTAATTAACTAAACATATCCTCATTAATAATATTAATACACATATCCATAATAAAAAACATGACATTAATAATATTAATACTTATTGCAAATATTATTATTATTAAATATAATTATTGTTATTATATATAATTATTTATTATAAATAAATAAATGTATAATAATATGCAAACCTTTTTTTATTAAAATCTCGATATACACACTGCTGTGATTGCACATTAACTGCATAACCTTAATATATTTTGATTAACATTTGTGTTGTACACAAGTTTTAATGCCTTTATAGGAACAATTCATATAGGTGATCTAGGAACATTGTTGAAGACATTGTTGTATCTGGAATCAAGCTGTGATTTAAAACTGAATTAATTTGTAGGAAAGCTGAAGCATAAATGTAGATCTGATGCTCCCTGGCCTCAGTTTTCTGTTTTATGGTACACCATCTGTCTTCTGTCTGTCTCTAGTTTATTGCAGCTGCAGTCTTATAGGCTGAAGGGAATCTTGGCAGCCATAACTGAGGAAACAGCACAAAAACGTCAAACTGCTTGCATCTATTGATGTGTAAAACATCCAGGCCTGTGTGAATGCTCTGACTTCAGCAGGCATATAAATCTGCTGTCAATACAGCATGGGTTTAAATCAAAGAACGTTTTGCTCGCTTCTGTTTGAAAGAGAGACCTTATCCATGAGGGTTATGTCCTGACAGCTCTAGCCAACAAGTTGAGTTCCTGTTATAATCTAAGAACACACAAGCATAGTTAAGAGTCGACATAGCAACCATACCATTAATTTGTGTCTCTCCCTGAATCCTGGCAACAAGCTTAGGGGCCAAAAAAACAGAACCCTGCTAGTTTATATACAGACACTAATCACTGAGACTCCACTTAGGAAGCACCTTTATTATAATTGCTCATATTTGGAAAAGCCATCATTATTATTGTGCATATTTGAACAAAGCCTACTTATTAAGTAAATTAATAAGTATTTATTAATAATTAATTCTCAACTATATTAAAAACACATCCAGCATTTGTGGCGTTGACTTCTTAACTCATATTTACTTCTGCTACAAAGCCCTAAAATCACTTGTACAACAAAGGTGACAATATTAATATTAATATAAAGGTTGCATACAGATGGATTATTTTCAAATGTTAAATTTCAACTATTTTAAGATTTTATTGTATAATAATAATTTTATATATAACACACACACACACACACACACACACACACATATATATATATATTGCATAATACTATAAAATATGTCAAATACTATATGACGTATTGTTTAATTACAATGCTATTACAATGTAATGTTACTTTCTCTTTTTATTTTTATATCAACATGGTACAAGATTATCCTAAATCAAAGCAATAAATGAATTAGGTCAAAGGTAATCAAAAAGTAGTCCAATTATATTACCTAAAATGTGTAATGTAATGGATTATGTTACCAACTACAATTTTTGTCATGTAATTTGGAATCAGTAATGGACTACAATTTGTAAGTAACTACCCAGCAATGTCTTATTTATAAATGAATAAATTAATGTCTTGTATATTCATTTATTTATATAGTTAACAAACTGGATGCAAGTGGCAGTGACCCGTGCTGACAGAAGCGGATCACACTCTCTACTCAGTCCTGGTGGGCTCTGATTAGGGATCCTGGCCAGTCTCCCGTTACCTTATGAGAGAGCATCTGTGCTGAGATATTTTGACATATGCACAGCTTAATAATGATGTAGAGTCTTAGGTAGAGGGCAATATGTTTTTGAGGGTTAATGTAGATGAGTAAATTTTGATGATGACATTTTTATGATATCTTGAGACCCAGTGATACTCACTCAAAGAAGCATATTTGGTTATACAGCTTTATATAGTAGCTATCAAATATGCCTCCACAAAATAAGCGGGCACAGCTGTGAAAAGAAATATCGCACGTCTTCACACTTCATTTTTAACACATATTCTGTAACATGAAGAACAGAGTGTGAATCATGTGCAATGTGTGACATGACTAGGAAAGAAATCATATGTGAAAGTGGTAAGGAGAAATAAGGGAATATAGATCGAGAGGTCTAATTACGGTTAAACATGAAAACATGTACCTGTGTATATGCTGGCGCTGGAGGCAGGGATTCCAAACTGAGACTCGATGAACTTGGGGATGAAGGTGATGAAGGCAGTGACGATGGCGCTCTCAGCTGTGTAGGACAGACTCACGAACAGGAACGTCATGTTGCTGAGGATCTTTATGGCAGCCTTGGGGAGGTCTACACAACGGGATAAAAAAACAACAAAAAAAAACAGCATCAGCAACTACACACATCAATAACCATTAAATGGCCAACATTAAAATTCTGTAATATTTTGTCTAAATAAATTAAAAATGAAACCCCAAAAACTAAAATAATCAGTTTGAATGATACAAATGAATTTAGTCATAACAACATTAAAATATTCAGTATGATAAATGGATATTCATTTTGTCATTTGCTAAAAATTAACTGTTAAATTTTAGATATTACATTCAAGTAAGCGTTAGATGACAGTAAAGGTAATCTAAATGTAAAAATAGAGAAAATAAGCATAAATGTCTAATATTAGCGGATATATATATCCAATTCCAAAAGATAAATAAAATTTAAAAAACATCCATAATATGGGCCAATAACCAGTTGTAGCGTCTGGACCACTCAAACACACAATATATATTTTGTTAGCTAGATTTAACAAATACTCTGTAACACCCCAGGAAGCCGAACAGGCCCCTGGTTCCATAGCAACGCTGACACCAGATATATTTACGATCTAAAGGAATGTGAGCAGAGACTCACTGCATTTTCCAGAAGCAAGAGGCACAAACGCACAGTAGAAATGGACTTTTCTACTAATTAATTCATAGGAAAACCTTTCTTTGTCTTATTAACTGATACATGAGGTATCATCGGCACCTTTTTACAAAGGTGTGTTTGAACTAAGAATCTGACGTTTATCAGGTGTAGATCTGCTGAATATGCACATGTTTCCATAACTTCATTCCTTATTTCTCTTCTCTGTACTGAGTTAAGCTTTAACCCTTTCCTATACCAACTGTATGCGTGTGTTTATGTGTTTATGTAGGATGTTAGACCAGTTTATGTTTATGTAGTATGTTAGACTAGTTTAAGTGTTTATGTAGTTAATAAAACCTTACTTGTATCACACTTGACGTGGTTCATTGTTTGCTTATAACTGGAGTCACTTAATCATGCAGATTTATGCTACAAGCTTTTGTAGAATTGTACAGTAAGAAAGTTATTTCCCTTAACCAGGAAATTAACGTTCTTAGAATTGACAAGACAGTTGACCCTGAGAGGTCAGCTAAATATCTACAGCGGATCTAAATATTCATAATTAATTATAACTAGTTATGATTAATTATTCATATTTCCTCATGAGCTGATTCGTTACACAGTATAGTACCAATATACTGTGCATAAATAAAAATTCAATAAAACTGAAAACAATAAAATCAACTTATTTTCATGCTAATTTGTCTTCAAGAAATGCTGGTGGTCACAGACGTGACCTGCTTTCTTCTCCGCATCAGCTCTCAAACAAGTTATAACCCATACTAACAGATGTTTGCTGTTCTAATAGGGTAAAGACAGCTAAACCTAAACATGGTGTCTCCACAGCTCTTCTGGATTCATCGGCGAATCCATTTAAATCCCATTGGTTTTAGCCGAATGCTTCATCATGGCCAACAAAGCCACCTCTTTTAATTAGCAGGTTAAGGCTGTAGCACTGTTTCCATGGTAATGGACTATAATCAAACTTTAATTTGCTCCTGAAGGTTGAACTCTCATACCATCTATGGGATCTATGGGACTGACAGAAGAGACATAGAAGCTGGAACAAAGCAGCCAGATTAGAACCGTCACCTACTAATGAACAAAACAGCTTGTCTGCCTCTACATCAAAGTGCCAGAAACTACTCTAGCCTACTGTAAGGCATTGTAGAAAAGTTGAAATGTTGAAAGCCTACTTATGCAAACACATGCAGGCCAGGAAGAATGGAAGTAGGTTACAGCGGGTTTATAGAACAAAGCTTGTCTTGCTTGTAGTCACTTGTGTGTATTTGTCAAAGCAGGACGAAGGTCGCACCAGGCAAATAATAATTGGCACTTATCTGGATAAAGTTTAGACAGTGTGACAATAATTGCAATGAGATTTATACAACTCAATGTACACTGTTCTAGTTTTAAGTTGTAATATGTATTTTATTATATATTTTAATATATTTTAAAAAGTAATTTATTCCTTTGATGTCAATTTTCAGCAGTCTTTACTCCAGTCTTCAGTGTCACATGATCCTTCAGAAATCATTCTAATATGTTGATTTGGTGCTCAAGAAAATATTTCTTCTTATTATTAATATTAAAAACAGTTGTGCTGCTTAACATTTTTGTGAAAACTGTGATCAACTTTTTTCCCCGGATTCTTTAATGTAAGTTAAAAAACAACATTAATTTAAAATAGAAGACATTTGTAAGAATAAAAAAAGATAAATTATTTTGATGTATTGTGTCACTATGTTTGCTTGAATCAATGCAAATTCAATGTGTATTTTCCAATCATACCAGTGCTGTATAAAAATGAAAGAACGCAAAAAAAGTCTCTTTAAATCTCACAATTACAACTTTATTTCTCTTAATTGTCTTTGTGACTTTAATCTATCTACATTTTTATCTTACTCCTTGCAAGTTTGTCTTTACATCTTACAATTCTGAATTTTTATTCCTCTAGTGTGACTTATTGCAACTTTATATCTCACAATGTTGACTTTGTATTCACAGTGTGAGTTTAATTCTTATTTTAAACATTTATTAATAATTTTTTTGTTGTAAAGCAGAAACTGGTTTCTGTCATCTCTTAGATAAAGTTTCAGCAGTAATTCCTTAACTTCCCAACAGCAGTGCTACTGCAGATTGTTATGAACGGGACCGTATTAGTGATGATGGTGGCAGGATTGTCATTAATGTTCTTCCCAGATAAATAATGAAAAGCAACTTCTGCTAGCTTACTCAGTCTTCATTTATAACTTTTTAAGCTTGATCATCATTCTACAGTTTCTAAATCAGCATTTGAAAATCTCCTGAGAGTGGTGGTCAGCAGCACGGTGTAATTAAATGAGGGAGAGACAAACCCTCATGGTCAAAGATCTGGGCTGATAACAGAATGACTGCAGGTTCACATCCTGCCCCGTGAAAGACACTAAACTCCAGAGGACTGTATTTATAATAACTGTACTGTAGGATGTTAAAAGCATCAGCTAAATGACAAATCACTGCTTTATATCACACAATCATATTATGATATTATGAATCTCTGCTAATCTTATGTTTTCTCAATGCGTTGAGGACAAAAATAACCACGTTTTCAAGGTAACACTCCAATATGAACATGCACACTTCCTGTAGTGTGCATCATCACATGACCTTTATCAGATACACACCTTTGATGTCCTTCCCAAAGCCCATGGAGGATGCCACAGTCTGGCCTTTGCTGTTGGATTTCTCTTTCAGGACATCATCATCATTGGAGTTGCTGTCCGCCCCAATCTTTTTCTTCTTTTTCTTGTGTCGAGGGGGAAGTTTTTTGGGGAAAGTGAACATGGGGAAGATGACCAACAGCATGGCGAAAGCACAGAGCAGGAAACCACTCCACCTAAGAACAAAGCGATATGTATTAATGACAATCATGCTGGAGATATCCAGTTTTTAGCAAAATGTGCTCAAAAAGTGTTAAAACTTTGTTACGCTTTCAAAGGCTGAAGTAAAATAAATGAATAGAAATGGGGATTTAAAGCATTATTTCTAGTAAAATGGGTTCAAAAAGTTTTAAAAATTAAATTCATGCTATGCTTTCAAAGGCTGGAATGAAATGAACTAAAATGTGGATATCTATCAGTATTTGTAGTAAAATGTGCTCAAAAAGTGGCAAAAATTGAGTTTATGCTATTGTTTCAAAGGCTGAAATAAAATTTATGAATTGAAATGGAGATGTTATTTTTAGTAAAATGTGCTCAAAAAGAGCTAAAATTTTAATTTATTCTTTCAAAGGTTGGAATGAAATAAATGAATTTAAATGGGGATCTACAATGTTATTTGTAGTAAATATGCTAAAAAAAAAGTGGAAAAAATTAATTTCATTGGCTGGAATGAAGCTACAGAACAGCAGATCTTACCAGTTGCCAATAAAGCGTGGATCACTTTGCTCAATGTTGATGATGGTTTTGGGATCTACGTAGAAGCCGATCAGAACGCCTCCAAGCAGGTACCCTGCAGCTGGCCCCAGAGCCCCCATTACATACATTATAGCTGAAAGACGCAAACAACCACATGTTACAAACCACGCTCTGTACACCCACATAATTTTTTTTTCTTTCATTTCACAGGATGTCTGATTGAGGCTGTTAATGTTCTTTCCACTTTCAGTGCCACTCTTGACTCATCGGGCAACTGAGTCAGCCCCACTGAGATGATGAAGAGTATGAAGGACTGATCATTAATAGTGCGTCATGCATCCACTTTGTTGTTGTATTAGTAGCAGTTTTATAACTGCCGTACAGCTCTGTTTATACACCAGATATGACAGTAATATGAAGGAGACAGAACATTTGCTATAAAACGAATAAAAGAAATTTAGTCGATTCTTTTTAGTTAATCAAAAACATGCAGCACGGCCAGTGTAGTCTGATTCCTGGAAAAATGACTCTTCCAAGCAATTATTTTTAGTAAAAAAAAATACACTGCATGACCCGTGTAGTCTGATTGTGGAACAATGACTCTTATGAGTTCTTATGAAAAATAAAAAACACATACAGCACCACCAGTGCATTCCAACCAATTTCTGAAAGAATGACTCATATGAGTTTTTTTCTTTTAAATAGTTCTTTTTTTAGTGAATTTAGCGGAACAGCATGTAGTTTGAATTTGTTATAAATGACTCTTTGGATGCTGGTTCTTCTTATTAAATCAAAAACATAAAACACGGCCAACACAATCCAACAGACTCTCACCGAATGACTTTTATAACCCAGTTCTTTCTATAAATCAAAAACATACAGTGTGACCAACATAAACCATCTGACTTCCAACAAATGACTCTTGAGCTGGTTCTTATTAGTGAATAATGTATTTGATTCATTAACATGTTTTTCCAATTGACGAGTAAAGATACACATTATGAATATTATTATGACCATTACGTTTGTCAATAGAATTTTATAAGCATAACTTAATGGATATTTAGTACTGTTACCAAGTATATACAGGTGCATCTCAATAAATTTGAATGTTGTGGAAAAGTTCATTTATTTCAGTAATTCAACTCAAATTGTGAAACTCGTGTATTAAATAAACTCAGTGCAAACAGACTGAAGTAGTTTAAGTCTTTGGTTCTTTTAATTGTGATGATTTTGGCTCACATTTAACAAAAACCCACCAATTCACTATCTCAACAAATTAGAATACTTCATAAGACCAATAAAAAAAATAATTTTTAGTGAATTGTTGGCCTTCTGGAAAGTATGTTCATTTACTGTACATGTACTCAATACTTGGTAGGGGCTCCTTTTGCTTTAACTACTGCCTCAATTCAGCGTGGCATGGACCTCAAGAAACTAAAGTGTATGATATGTTTTTTGTAAGACCTCATTAGTGACTTTATTTGATTTGATTTTGCAACGAGATTTCAGCCTTTATACATTTAAGTAGATAAAAGCTATACTCGCATGACTGGAAATAGCCTAGAGGTGACAATAAATGACTGCCGAGTGCACTGACTTGCTTTAACATGGATTTTTAGAGGCATTTGCTAATCCTTGACATGGACAGGTGCATATGCAAGGCTCGATTACTTTGTGTTGTTGCTTTCGACACTGGAGGGATGCGTGTACTGTCGGGAGAGCATTATCCCTACAGTCATCTGTTAGCGTTTGTTCACAGAAAGCAGCAGTGGACTCTTTCCCCTTCCATATGGCCCACGTGGCTGCCAAGCTGGTTCTGATCCAGCCAGAAGCTCATACAGAACTGAGGCAGGTGCAGCAACACAACAAGGCCTAATCTCTAATCTGTCTCAGTACGGGAGAAGGTTTGGCCAAAGGCCTGCTGGGTTATATAACACAAGTACAAACATGTTGAGGGAGACAGATAAGTCACTTTTTATTTGATGTAAACAGAACTACGCTGGCTTAGACTCCTGTCTCTTGTCCTTACGTGAGAGAAGCCAGTGCCAAGAGAATGAGCCAAATCTAACACACACACACACACACTCACAGAGCGGCATGACATTTGGGCACAGATATTTCACACTCTGAACCATATTTAGCAATGGGTGTTGATCACATCGTGAAATAGGACAGGCTGACTTTTGTCTGTTTGATTTCCAATTATGCTGCTTTCAAGTTTTCCGGGGAAACTCGTACTTACAAATGTGCACACCATTATGAGGTTCAAGTGATTCCGGTTGGACTAAAATGGATGTATTGGGCAATTTCTTTTCTTTTTTTGGATGCACTGATACTAAAATTCTGGCCATTAAGTTATAAGTAAATTATTTTGATGTTATGGCTGGTATCTGATTAATGCCTGATATTATATAAAGCTATAATACACCGAAAAAAGAAAATCAAAACAAAAAAAACTAAATAAATAATTTGAATAAGTACCGGCATGGCCAAAAGTTTTGGCAGTGACATACCTTTTGAGGACTGACCACAGGTTCTCTATGGGATTGAGATCCGGGGAGTTGCCTTGCCACGGATCCAAAATTTCAATGTAATTATCTTCGAGCCACTTCTTTATCACTCTTGCTTTGTGACATGGTGCTCCATCATGCTGGAAAATGCACAGATCATCAACAAACTGCTCATGGATCGTTGGAAGAAGTCGCTCTTGCAGGACGTTTTGATACAATTCTTTATTCATGGCAGTGTTTTTGGGCAGAATTATGAGAGAGCCCACTCTCTTGGTTGAAAAGCAACCCCACACATGGATGATCTCAGGATGCTTCACTGTTGGCACAACACAGGACTCATGGTAGCGTTCACCTTTTCATCTCCGAACAATCGATTCTCCAGATGTCCCAAACAGTCAGAAGGGAGCTTCATCAGAGAAAATAACTTTGCACCAGTCTTCTGCTGTCCAATCCTTGTACTTCCTGCATAATTTCAGCCTGTCCTTGACGTTTTTCTTGGAGATAAATGGCTTCTTTGCTGCCCTTTTTGACACCAGGTCGTTGTCCAAAAGTCTTGGCCTCCCTGTGCGTGCAGATGCTCTCACACCAACCTGCTGCCGTTCCTGAGCAAGCTCTGCCCTGCTGGTGACACGATTCTGTAGCGGACTCCTCAGGAGGAGACGGTCCTGGCGCTTGCTGGACACTCTGGGACGTCCTGAAGACTTCTTCACTGCAGTCGAACCTCTCTCCTTGAAGTTCTTGATGATCCGGTAAATTATTCTTTCAGGTGCAATATTCTTTTTAGCAATTTCCTTGCTTGTGAGGCAAAGCGATGATGGCTGCACGTGTTTCTTTGGAGGTAACCATTGCTAACAAGAACACAAAGATTGGAAGCACTTCTTCCCTCCTTTTATAGCAATCAGTCTGCTCTAATTAGTTAGTATGATAGTGATTTTAGCTGACTAGTACTCATTCACACTTTCACATGTGCTGCTGATATGATTAGTCAATAAATGTTAATTGGTCATTTTGTGTCAGGATCAAAAAACAGTGAAATTAGTTTTTTTGTGAAAAGTAAATTTTTTTGGCCAATGAAGCTTTTAGCAATTATTTAAAATGCATCTGATCACTCTACACAATAATCTAGAAACAATGTGAATGAACACCACAACAGTTTAAGCAGCAAACTTTGCAAAACAGAAAATTTATGTCACTGCCAAAACTTTTGGCCATGACTGTACATTTAAGCATCACAACTGGGCTGCACTATTTGGGGAAAGAATCTAATTGCGATTTTTCCTGATATTGCGATTTAATTAAATTCCAAATAAAAGTTCCAGGTTTGCTGAGCTTGTTTGGACTGTATAATAATTTTATTTTACACTGCAACTAATTGCAATATTAATATTTGTCTTCATTTATAATCGCAATTCATATCTTAATTTCTTTATTTTCAAGCATTGAGCACAGATTCCATTTTCATTAGTATGTCCTTGTTTAACAATTCTATCTGATACTTGAAATCTGATAATTGAAAGGCAATTATTAATATACTGCCACCATTCAGAAAATATGCATTTATATAATTCAAGTTTGCAACAATTCGTATTTCAGAAGATTTAGCAGCTGGATTTGCTGTTAGTGGAGTCATTGTATGGTACACTGGTAATATTATTGCTCTCAGTCACAAACCCTTTCAATCTGTCGTTTGCCTGCAACAAATACACAGTCAATCAGTTTAAAAAGAAAGCGGTGTCAGTGTGAAGTCACTTACAAGCCACAATGTGCCACAGCTGAGAAATAACATGGCAGAGAGTCTGAATCATGTCTCCCATAATTATTTTGTGCACTTCAAAGCGTGAGCAGAGAAAATAATGCTGCAGGCTTTTCCTGTAATGCTATTCATTTAGTCACTTGGGTGGCTTTCTTTGCAAACTATGGAACACCAGGGTCTCATCTAGTTTTGACTTCTCAAATATTCAATCAGCCTTATCTATAGCCTAATTAAATAACAGGTTCTTCTAAAATACCCCTGGAGAGTATGGAAGCATGGAGGAATTATTTCTAAAAGCACAAAAGCTGCTGATAAATGCTCTTATCAGCCCAAAACAGAAATGCCCAGCACACTGAACCAAACAGCTGGCCAACATCGAACAAATAAAGAAAGGAAACAGCCTTCACCAGACAGCCTGATACAGAAGAATAAACTTCGCTTGTCTGAAGCATTAAAGATGTCAATAAATTCATTATGAATTCATCAGTAACTGAAGCCATTTTATTAGAGCTTTTGTGGTACCAGGCATCCCATTTTTACTGTGTAGCATAAGCAGATAGAAATGTACTATTAAGGATGTGAAATTAGAGTGGCATGTCATTACATTAATGATTAAATACTAATCCACTTTAACAATAACAAGTGCTCACACTGAGCACATAATGAGTATTGGTAAAGACTAGCATGAGTCCTCTAAAGTCTCGCTTAATGAAGTGAAATTTTGGTTTCAATGTAAAGTAATTGAGAAACTACAAATTATGTACAATTTTCTCACCTTACTGAACAGAAGAAACAGGAATCAGAGCTGATGTCCCTGAATGAACAGAGGTTGAATAATTTTTGTTGGGTAAAATGTGGCAATGAAAT